AGGAGGGGAACAGAGAAAAAAAGAGAGAAGAAAGCACAAACAGCAATGTTGCTTTGTACCTTCACCGCCGACAATGATAAGAGTTGGATGTTTTTGTAAAGCCACCAGTTAGATTCGAGTCGAGAGTAAAGAATATTTATGGAGGACCAATAGGCCGCCTCATAAAAATGCGGTAAAACCGCGTGGTTGCGATACTCGCCACAAGCAGAGGATGAAACAGAGCCACTACCATCACCATAACAGTTACTCCCACCAAAAAAGGCTTCTTTAGTCTGGGCACCTGCCGTAAATCCAATCCCAAATATTCATCGTAAAACTCATACGCCCCACAGCGCGTCTGCAACTCATAAAGTGCCAAACCCACTAAAACAACATAAAAAACATGTATCCAGTCCGTGTATGGGTACGACATCATAACATGAAACGCCGTCTGACGATCAGCGTAATCGAAATCGCTAAGCATAGCCCTTACTTGTCTCCGTTGCACAGCATCTATTCCCAGCGTTCGATAAAGAAGGTGCCTGTCTTGGTTTCCGGCAAGCTGCGCTTTGATAGTAGAGGAAACATTTTGGCACATATAATCTCGAAGTGCATGATTCTCCACATTCGATTGCAGCTCTCTCCCCTCGCTATCCCGCAACTTTCCCAATTCCGTCGTGGGGGGGAAGGCATAACCTTGAAACCGCATTACACCTAGTTTCTGCATCACAGTGACGGGGTCGTAAGCCCTGGGGCCACTACTGAGCTCCACCTTGAGCGGTTTGCTGGCGCGAAGATAATCTATGGGTTGTGCTTCGAGTCCTTGTTTTACCTCCGCCAGGCTATACGACCGCTCCATCGCTTCACCCCCAATCGGACCTCCATCACTATCATTAATACCGCTACTACTACTAATACTACGATTACTATCGCCACCAATATTATTCTTTTCACTGGATTCGTACTTGGCGCGAAATTCCTCTAAAAGTTCTTGATATTGCGGTGTTCCTTGATAGTACTCAAGACGACGAAGATCCAATTCCATTTCCCGCAGCAGTGGCCTCTTTCGCGGTGCAGAACCTCCACCACTATCGCCACTGCTCTCTCCCCTGACGGAACCTTTTTTACACTTTTCATCACCCTCAAACGTATCTCTAACCCCAAAGATGGATTCTCCGCAGCTCGCCCGAAGAAAATGCACCTCTGGTGTCCCTTTCGCTACTTTTGACTCTGGTGTCGCGTTCTTGATAACTCGGAGTGGTCTTGTTGAATTCTCAGGCTCCTCGGGAAGAAAATGATGCCCCGCGTAGACACTCGTTGAGGCCAAACCGGCCGCTTTATCATCCATGTAATGGCGTGCACGAGAGGGACGAATGTGTAGCTCTGGAGCAAAGGCCTGCCCCGGATGCAGACGCGTCTCACCGCCCTTGCCACTACCAACAGCAGTCCCAGCCTCCTTCGCTTCACATCTGCCATCCGCTGACTGTTTCTTTCGATGAAGAAACTGCAGAGAAGCATCATCCGCATCGCGCTCCTCCGGCGGCACATAAAAGGCGGGACGCGGCGGTGGTGGAGTCATCTCTACTGCATTAAGCACGCCTCTCCCTGCGCCGCCATCCCCAACCGAGCCATGCCACCGTGAGTTAAAGCAGGATCCAAAGCTGACCAAAGTTCTGCCCACCATTGTGGAGGAGCACAGCCCTCGCCGCATTGCCCTTCTTTCTCGTTGTATGCGGGAAACACACGCACACACAAAAAAAAAGAGAAAAAAAATAGGGAAGCTGGCAAACAAAAGAGTAAGTAAAATAGAAAAGAAAAGGAAGGGAAAACATCGTCGCATCAACCATGGGCGCGCATCTAATTGCCCGCAAGCACGGAAAATAAAAAGGATAATGAACGGTCACTGCCTTTCTTTTGGGCGTTTTCCCCCCCCCCCCTTATTTTTCCACAAGAATTTTGTTGTCGTCTTTTTCATTCCAAAACACAGAAAATGGTAAGGCAAGAAAAACATGTCTCTTGCCGGTAAGGCCAATGACACATTTCCCTTTTTTTTCTTTTTTTTTTCCTCCTCTGTTTGTTTTCCTGTTTTCTGGCCCATAAATCTCAGCAAATTCATTATTTTTTTTCCCCCTCTTCTGTTGAGCCTACTTTGGCCAGGGCAGGAATCGCAACAGATGGTAATTACTGTCGGTCACACGCAAAGAAAATCAAACGGAACACTCCGTTAAATATTTCCCCCCTTTTGTTTGGTTGGTTGTTTGCTGTTTTCTTTTATTTATTTTTTTTTTTTTTTTTTTCTTGGGGGAAAGGGGGGGAGATTAAGGAGAACGGTAAGTTCTTCTCTTCTTACACTGATACGGATGGTGCTGACTTTTTTTCTTCGCTCGTCCTCGCGCTTAATACCATAAAAAATTATTAACACTCTCTTTGACCCATCAGGATCAAAAAAAAAAAAGAAAAAACATGCGTCATACACATCCCACCAAGATGAGCGGTGCAACTATTCCTCCATATCCATAATTTTTGCCACCGTAAATATATGCTAAAGACAACCAAGAAATAAATTGTATGAAAACAAAACTATTATTAATATATATATATATATATATATATATAGGGCTCAGGCGATTGGATTTAGTTGCTTTTCTTTTTCAGGTACGTGTTCAAATGTATCTTTTTTAGCTTCACCACACTGTCAGATTCTGGGAACGCGACCACCACCTCAAAGGGCTCTCCGACACGCTCGACGGCAGATTCGGCTCCGAGAAGATTATATATTTCTTCCTCTGCAAATCCCTTATGAGGCAACGACGTCTCACCCCGATTTTCCCTCGCCGATGGGCCTCCTTCAACCCACTCATATTGACATTCAATGACGAGGAGACCACCCTCTTCCAGTCGACTCAGCATATGCAACGGGATAGCGGCAGGGGCTGAGCTTCTCTCCAGGGTATTCCAGCACACAATCAAAGAAAAATCTTTCATGTGACTGTGAAGGTTTGTGGGGTCAGACTGAAAAAAGGTGACGCGTTTACGATTGGTGTCCCAGGAATAATTTGAAGCTTCAGCCATCTTTGCCACACGCTGGAGCGAAGAAGATTCCAAAGTGCTATAGGTACATTTGCCACGTTCCAGCATCGCATAGGCCGGGATAAGGTAGCGGGCCGTGAAGTCGGAGCCAACCACTTGGGAAAAAAGAGCAGACAATTCAAAGGATACCCGACCAGCTCCACAGGCAAAATCCAATGCGCGTTTGGGTTCAACTCTAGCATGAGCCTTGAACTGAGCCTTGCAGTACTCAGCAATCTTAACGCAGCCATTTGGAATGCCATCAACAGATTCGCGAAAACCCGCGTCGGTCATAATGTCAACTTCGGGGTCCATTCCCAAGACACTCCCGCAGTAACGCTCCTCGTTAGTTGGGCCGCCTTCCACGTAACGAA